TTTTTTTTTTTTTTTTTTTTAGCTCTCCCCTTTTGGTAAATTCCTTACCCTCTGACAGCTCCAGCTCCAGCTCCGCGAGCCGTGCACGGATCTCCAACGGTATCGGCGACGCCTCACGGTCCGCCATTCGACTCGTAGCGTAGAAAACACCTCCCCGGTACGGCTGTGGCTACCTCCTCCTCCTCCTCCTCCTCGGCTCCGAAAAGGGAGAGCTTCTCCTCGGCGGCCCCTCCTCGACGGAGGCGCGTAGAGACTGCGCGGCGTTCAGGGAGAACAAAGAGGATAAATCTGGGTCTCGTTTTAACGGAGGCCCGCCATGATGCCCGGCTCCTGAACACGGTTAAGACCCCGGTGGCTCGGTCGGCTCGTTCCACTGCCTCTGCGGTAGTTGTGGCGGCGGTTGTGATGATGATGATGATGAGGCTCGCGCAGCCCCAGTCTCAGCGCTGTTTGCAGCTCCTTGCCGATGGTGTCACGTGACCCCGTGAAGCAAACGGAGGGAGGGAGGGGGAGCTGCCCGTGTCCACCAACAGGGGGCGCAGTGAACATCCACACGTCAAACCCACTACTTTTTTAAAAATCAGTCTTTAAATTTTGTTTACCAGTCGAACTATTTTTTTAAAACATAATCTACATAATTTGTATGCAAATAATACTTTTATCGCTACACATCACAAATTTAAAAGTCTTAACCCAGCCATTCTCTATATTTTCATCCCAAGCAAGCCATTTTTTAAAATTGTTTTCATAGTCTTTACATCTTCTCCAGGATTTCTACAGGCCTTTCAAAATTATTTTTGGGACTCCAGTCTTTGTACCTGACCATGTGTTCCATGTGTTTTTTTAATTGTTAAGTCCTCTGAATTCAGGCACAAAAAGCCCCATAACCCAAGGGATGACACAACTCTTTGTTGTTAACAATGTCACAAAAGACACATGTTGTTCCCATTTCTTTCATTTGATCTCTGAAAAATGCCAAAGATAACACAATTTCACAGTCAGAAATAGTTTTTTGCACGAACAAGGTGATTCCCAAAGAGCTATTAGCATGGTGGGCAGTGTGTCCTTAAAAAAAATGAGAAAACTGGACAAGCGGAGGACTGTTCGAGATTCAAAGTTTTTATCATCATAAACACAAGAGAAACATGTTTCTCTGCAAGAATGCCACTCAGAGTGGTGAAACGTAAAAAGAAATGTAAGATAATAGTTTGGAAAAGTGTTGCAATATCTGGGAGTAAATAAAGCAATTTCCATTTTATGTTTTCAAAATGAAAATGGTCAAATTTCCTTTCACAGTGGTTAAGCTGACCCAACCTGATGCTGACCACATGAAGTGATGGTCTTTTCCTTCCCACGTGTTTTTTGTCCTCCTTCACTCTGAGCTTCTGCTTTTCATCATCATTATGTGCTTTATGTTGGACGGTGGAAATTCTGCTTCAACACATTTAGGCAATTCATTTAAACATTAAGTTAAATATGATTAAATGAGTCTAATATGGCTGAGACACAACAAGAGATAAATTTGCCCGTCTAACAGTGTATTTGATTAGCATTTTGCCCCATTCGTTAGGCCTCAGGAATCAAATCATCCTCATTGTAAACATGTTGTGTGTCCTAATGAGGCTCTTCTGCCACCTGCTGGTTACAGGGGGGGATGAATGTCTTTTCTTTCATTTTATAAGATACATATGTTTGTATGATTGTGTTATTGAAGAACGCTCTGATTTATCGGCTCCACTTCAACACATTTACACCCCAAACATTTTTACTTCAAAGGCACTTCTTTAATATTTCTTCAGTCATATGTACATCTGTACAAATTAACACAGTACAACCGTGCCTGCTGTTTCTCCATGACGACAGCTTTACATTTAAAACTTCATATTGCAAACTAAAGAACATTTGTCACTACAATCAAATTCTCAAACAGATTTTATGTTCTTTGTGCTAAAACAGAGCTTGTTGACACCATGACAGTTACATAAAACAGAACCAAGCTTTAACACGAAAAAAAGCATCCCCATTTAACATAAATTAAAAAAAAGGGAAATTCTAAAGGGGGAATAAAAATGAAGAAAATCCTAGATAGAGAAAGAACATTCAGTGCTTTTCAAGGAAAAAATACTTTGACCCGTGTGGTATCAAGATGAAATAAATAGAGATCAGTATATTATCCTATTCACAACAGGTCTCACTCATATCTGAAAATGGAAATAAACTGTTTAACTAAGAAGTAATATCAATACGAAAAGCATCATGTATGTCCACAGCTGTGTTTTAGACCCATTTTTAAATGGGGAGAAAACAGACAGAATAAAACATCCTGTACAAAACGAAAGAAGGAAATGTGCCATCAGAAAACAAGACTAAATCAAATGAAACCTGTCTCCCATTAAACTGACTGTAGCTACAAACCAAGAAATAAAACAGAAGCAGCAGATCAACATTTATGCTTCAGCATCTTGTCCAAGAAATGAAAAGTTAGTTCTGACGGTTGTACTCAGGCTGCAACAGCCTGAACCTCCCCTCATGTAGACATGTAGGCGTATGCAGTTTCTCTCGTTTCAGAATAAAAGTGAGTTCATTTGAAGGCTGTGCGAGGAGCTGAAAGCTGCATTTCATCTCCATCTTTAGACACTGCGAGTTCAAACTCAGATCATTTGTCATTGTATACATCCTGTTAGTACAATTAGGACACACAACAACACATTTTCAAATAGTTACACAATGGACTAAAAAAAAGAAAAAAGTCCATGTGTTTTTTTCCTCATCTTGTCAGATCACCGGAGGAGTTGGTTCAGACGCCTGGCTGGCGGCTGGTGGGGACTGGTCAGCGGGCAGCCCAGACTCACTGCCCGATGCTCTCTGGCAGATCTCAGCATAGCTTGGTTTCTTGGAGTCCTTGGGAAACAGAGTACAACAATAAATTCGTCACTCTTACACTTTTTTCACGTGATTAAGACTGCCACTGTTCTATGCTTCATTCAGAGGTCAGAGAGTTCAGGTTCCATCAGTCAACCGCACCTCTAAATCTGCTGGACACACATCTGGATGTTACTCAGACTCATACCACCCACTCAGATCGAGCCGCAGGTCGAGCACATCCCAGTAATCTGCCTTCCAAACTTCTCAGGTCAAAGTCAAGTTTTATATAAAAGCCAATACCAGAGGCCACATCCAACAGACCCCTACAGGAGCCAGAGGACTAAGTACTATGGTCCAGAGGACTCCTAAAGACTATTCAACGGCTACTGCGTTAGTGTTGTATGTTTCTATCTTCCTTTATGGGTTTTGCTCTTTTTATGTTGTTTGAAAGCATCTTGTAAGAACTATGCTGAGAATTCAGTGAAACTCTGTGTTGATCTAATACCGACTGGCTAAGCCAGGAGGAGCTGACAATGGCACATTTCACATGCTCCAAAGCAGCAGCAACACACAGCAATATTTAGATCTGTGTTTGTGAGACACCAACATGAGAAACCAACTCTTTAGTCAGAATCAGTTTCTCAGAGACTTGTGCCAACAGCAGGACGATCTGTCAGGGTCAGAGAAACCTCTGAAACTGGAAATGACAAAATATCACAAAGAACAAGAGGTACAACATAATACAACATAGACTTAGTTGGATTCTTACTGTGGCTGCTTCCTCTGAAAGCAGCCCTGGTTTGGCCTCACTGGTCATCTCTGCACTCCCAGTCTCACTCCTGAAGAGAGAAACAATTTGCTGCTACTTGAAAGCTGGAAAATTGCTTCAGGAAGGTCTGAAGTACCAGCAAGTCACAATGAAGCAAGCAGAGATAACTGGTTATATCATGTGGGAATGAACAGCCCACATAACAGAGCAGCTTAAATGGGCCTCGCCGTCTGACAGACTTACTGCTGTGCGACGGGCTGAGGCTCCTCTGATACCGCCGGCAGTGGGGAGGTGCTGCTTTGGACTGGATCCTGATAGAAGGAAATAAAGAGTCACACATCATCTTTCTCTGAATGGAGAACCGAAGGACAGAATATAACATTACACTCACCTCGATGTTGCTAACAGTTGCTGATGTTGTTGCTATGGCAGCGTTTCCCGTGGAAAGAGGAGGGAAGCTGGTCAGAGTGAGCTCAGGAGGAGGAGACGACTGGCGGACAGGAGAGGATGGATTCTGTGCCAACACACAAACCGTCAGCTCACGCCCTCAGCACTGGAGCACGGGAGCTGCTCAGAGATCATTTACCTGACTGTTCTGAGAAGATCTTTCCCAGGACCTTGCATGCTCTCTTCTCCTGTTGCTGAAGTTCCCTCTTCTTAAGAGACACAGACAAAGTTGTGTCCTGATCGGTTTCTACCACATTGCTTGTTGCAGGTGTGGAAAATTTAAACAAAATTGTTTTTGTTACCTTCCCCGTTCAGAAGAGGCCGACTGAACCTGCCGGTTGGCCTCGGTCCGTCCACCCCTGCTCTGCCGGTGCACACCACCGCGTGAGCGGCCTCGGGCTTGCTTCGTGGTAGAAGAGGTGTGATCCACCAACGGCTGCTCTGACGACTGGGAGGAGTCATTGTGCCAACGATCTCCACAGTTTGACAGCCTTGAGCCCCTCCTGGATGTTAGGAACAAAGACATACATCACTGGTCAGTTGCGATGCCAGACAGTGACAAGCTGACAGGCGCACAGCCTCAGAATCAGACATAGGACAGATGCTACCTCTGCCTCTGTTGGTTGTATGGTTTGAAGTTGGCAACTGCCGCCAATCCACTGATCAAGTCATTCATCATTAAGTGGGATTGCTGGCAAAAAAACAAAACAAGGCTTATGAAACTGTTCAACACATATTACCGTCTTAGTAAAATCCCTTAACACCCCGTTGGGCATAAGAAGGACCCACCTCGGCACATTCTTGGTAACCTGTTGCGGCTGAAGACCACAAGTCACTACTGATATCAAACAACTGCTTTGTGGGTATGTGGGAGGGGCAGGGCTGCTGGAACGTAGTGGAGGGTAAGTAGGAGGCATAATGATTGCTGCACTGGTCCATCTGGATGGGTCTGTAACCATTTTTTGGGTTGTGAGAAACGAAGGCCATTGTTTTGGCTTTAATCCTGGCCATGATCGGTTTTCCTTTAAACACCCGGACCTCTTCTCTGAGGTACTTGTAGGCCTGCAAACAGACACAGGGCGTGTGCACCATAGAGCTGTGAATGATTCTGTTTTCACTGCACGGGCTGGAAGTAGGAGCTTATGAACAAACAAACAACAATGTGAACATTTCATTTCATATGACTATTATTTTGACAACTTTGTGGTGGTAAACATAATCCCACCTGCTGTGCATCAGATTCCGATTTAAAGGTGATGAACAAGTTATCGTTGTTCACAAATTCACAGCTCACGAACTTGGGCAGGTTTTCCCCTTCAAACAGAGCTTCCACCTCCTAAACAGCAGCAGTAACAGCAACATAACCAGTGTTAAAAGTGAGACATCCAATATCACATTAGGTCATTTTTCTTTTGATGGTAGCAGCAGGTCTCCAAAAGGCTGGAACAGATGCTTTTTAGTAAGTGGTTCTAAAGAGAAACAGCTGGAGGAAAATGTTGGAACTAATTAGGTTAATTGGAAACAGCTCAGTAATAACATTAACAAAGGATTGTTGATGTTTTTTTATCTCATGGAGATCGCGGACTTCAGCAGGATAATACCTAATCTTTAAAACATTATGTAAAAGGTACCGCTATTTGTCTCCTCAGTTACAGATGTTGAGAGAATGCTATAAATTGAAGGGGGCATGCTGTACAGTGGAAAACACAGACCTTTTCCCACTTCAGATGTTTTGGGACAATCAATTCAAGATGAGCCATTATCTTTCAAGACAGACAGTCAAATATTTCACTTTAGACTTTTTTATGTATTATTGTTATTATTATTCTCCCATGAACAACATGCAGATTAATGAAATCTGAAATTAATCCAATTATGTTTTTACCCACGCTTTACACAAGGCCTGTTTTTCAATGTTGGGGTTTTAATGCATATAGTCTGCTAACTTTGACATTAATGTGACCTCAAATCAAAGTCTTAGGCCTGCTTTAGACCACAGTTTGAAAAGTTGTGAGCAACATTAAACAATCTAGTTATTAGAGGAAGAGATGAACTGTGATGACGTAGCTGGGGGAATCTTGCCTCATGAGGTGTGGTGTTAGGAATCTCCCGCAGGATGACAACACACCGGCTCTGTGTGGGCCGGACTTTCTGCCCACATGGGGCCACCTGGACCAGCGGCATGGCTGCCAGCATAAGACAGAGAGGACAGGTCAGGACAACAATAAACATCATTCATCCCGATAATCACCACAGTCAGACAAAAAAAACCCCCACTAACATTTCAGAATATCAGAGATGAGGTCCAGGTCTGTGGTGAGATTCTTGATCTTGTCCAAACTGGCCAGAGTTGCAACGGGGACGTATTGGTCATTGTCCATCTGTGATTGGAGGTACAGATCGCTGCCAAGGTGCTCCCTAAGAAGAGACAAGGGTGCGGGTAAGAACAGTCCAATAGTTCATCTTAATTAAAATGGTGATGTTAAAAATGTGTTGAACAAAAAAATCATCTGAAACAAAATAATTATGGAAAACAAAACTATTTTAGTCCATGAACTATGGAATGTGCAGAGTTTTTACCTGGTCAGACAGGACTCCAGAATTCTGCTCAGTTCCTCTCTGATCTCATCTGAAATGACAGTAAGTCATCTCACATATCCCCATTTCTTTAATGCCCCAAAATTGCCCCAAAATTTGTGCTGTGGGTAATTTTTTTTCATACAACAAACAAAACCCTCTGGGCTGAAGGCGGGCAGACCGATACCTGTAACAGGTGGGTAAGTGGGCTCTCCGTTAGCTACAGGAGCTTCAGCCGTCAGTGCCTGGTACTCCACTGGATTGGGATCACTTTCAGTCAGGCCCATGCTCATATGAAACTCTGGCACATATCCTAAAAGGAAGAGATAGAAAATAAATCCAAATAAAATCCACACTATGGTAGCATTCACTTTTGTCTCAAGGCAACCCAGCGTACCCTCCTGATTGGCGAGGTCGTCGGGGGCCTGGAGCCATGGCTGCTGAGGCTGCTGGTATCCAGCTTCAGCGACATTAAAGCTGAAGTTTGGATCTGTCCATACCTGGGCATCAGGGTTAAGGCTGGGGGCAGCAACGGGTCCCTAAAAATAAACAAAAAAACCCAAAAGAAACACATATATCAAAAACGGTGTCCAAAACCTATAGAGAAAACTCTGCAGATAGCACCAAAGACAGCTGCAGTTAACCAAATGATTTGGTTATATTTACAGTTTTCAGCCTAAAATTAAGTTCAGTGAACAATTAGAGATGTGTACCCATAAATGAGGGGTTTTCAGGGGAAAGTGTTCACTGTTACCACCATTTAGCCTCTAAGATACAGACAGAAAACGTTGATACAACACAGGAAAACGATAAGAAGCTGAGCTTTGAAGCTGCCCACAATTCAGCACCACAATGAAGAGAACCATCATCCCTGCTGTATTTTGATTGGATTTCATCCATTTTTCCAACACAAATGCTTAAAGTGCCCCAACACCTACTTAATTAAAATAATAATTTCAATCACTTCCAACTGTATATACAAACTGTATATACTTTCAGATGATGTGTGGACATTTGCTGTACATTATGTTTTTTACATACTTGGTAGAGGATTCCCTCTATTCATTAATAGAGCCAACTGCAATATAAGTTCAAAACCTCATTGATGATTTTGCTTTTCTTAAGGATAAAACCGTGATATCGAATGCTTTCCCTCGACCTAGTCAGGCAACATGCTGGGTGACTTACAGACTGAGAGCAATCTGTGTGCCAGTCCCACACACAGGATCCATGAGGCATCACAGTGCTGTAGGGGTAGGCTCCCAGCAGAGCCATGGTAGGCTGAAGCTCTGACACTCCTGGGGGGATCAGCTCTGCTTTGCTGTCCTTCTGGCCGTCGCCCCGGTTTGGCTCCCCCTCAGAGGCCCCCTGAGCCCACCCCTCACTGCTCTCCACCAGACCCAGCCTGAGCCAGGGGTTGGGGAAGAGGTGGCAGACGGAGGAGTCTGCATCTTCTCCCAGTAGCTCAGACACCATCTCCCTCATTCCTCCCTCCTTCTCGCTTTCTTCGGCAGCAGGGGGCGCGTCCTGATCCAGATAGTGAATCTCATAAGACGGAGTCGAGGCGTAAATATCAATCTGATCTGGATCCACGGCGGTCATGGGGTGACCCTCTCCTGAGCTCAAGAAAGAGATTATCTGATGTTCGTCCGAGATTTTGGACCCGTCGCATGTGCTGGGGGCATCTGAGGTGTCAAAAAGCTCAACTGGGGAAGTCTCCATTTTCACATAATATATCTGATCATTTCTATTTGACGAGTCTTCCAGTTCAGGCAGACTCTGCTGCATGTCAGTCTCAGATAGAGGGTTCACACAGTCTGAGGAAACACTGGAGGGACATATTTTTGTTGGTTCAGAGGCTGCTTGAGTGGAATAACCATTCTGCTCCACTCTATCTGCCGGGTTCCCAACTAGCTGCTCTGTGCAGGTCAGCTGCTCAGCGGTGGTCTCCTCTGCTTCGTGGTTAGATGGATCCGCCTGTTGAATTTGTCTGCTTCCACTCTCAGCAGCACCAACTTCAGTGTCAGATGTTTGAAAGGAGAAATGGGAAGGAGGCACAGTGGAAGACGTTGCAGCAGAAGTCTCTTTTTCAGCAGGAGGAGGCTGAGTGAGAGGACAATGGTTGTAATTCTCAATCGTCTCAGGTGTCTCAGGGCCGGGAGGAGAGCTGCTTTCATTTTCACTCACACAGTCGTCGGATTGCTCAGGAAAGCGGTAACATTTTTCGTTATCCGTCTCCGGTATGGAAGTGTTTTGGCCTACTTCAGGTAAACTGGCAAAAACATGAGATCTCTCCGCAAGCTTGTGTTTCTGATAAATTTCTGGTTCTGCCCGTTTGGAGCCTCCATCAATGGGGACACTTCCAGTTTTTAAACCACTGGTGTCGTTAATCTGACAGTCACCAAACATCATCCCCTCAGCCTCCTGGTTTCTGAGCTCAAACACCTTCTGATTTGAATAAGCCTGTAAACTGACAGAGCCACTCTGCTGAACCATGTCGATCTGTGTCAGATCTGCGTGGGCCGGGAGAACAGCCGTCTTAGTGGGGGGTGAAGACGAGGAAGAGATGGTGGAAACTGACGACACCTCAGTGAGAGTCGTAGCAGCTGTGCTGCTGTGACCAGTGCCGTCCTCTGGACTGAAGCCCCTGTGGATAGTCACAGGAACAGCCGCACTGTGCAGCGAGGACTTCTCTGTTTCCATCTGCTGTCCAGGAAAATGGAGCTCATCTTCCTTCTCTTCCTTCTCCTCCGCCTCCATTTGCTGAAGTTTGATGTAGGGATTGAAAGACGTGGGGTTCAGCGAGTAAGTGTTGAGTTCAGGAGTTTCAGAGGATGATTTGAACCTGATAACGTCCTGCTTTGCTTTGCATTCTGACTGATGCAGATGAGGACCACTGTCAGAGTCTGAGCCCTGATCTACTTTCTCCTGGGAGTCAAACACTCTTTCCTCTGTCGCTTCACGGCCTCGCTTTGTTGCCCTTTGATCCTCCGGTGAATGCTTAATTTTATATTGATTTCTCACTTGACCCCGTTGCTCTGACGCATTTACCGTGCCAGCTTCGGCACATCTGTCCTTCACCTCCACATGTGTGCATTCACTGTTGCCTGGCACTGTGACATTTGAAACGTGGCAGGCGAATGCATCTGCGTCATTTGCAAGACAGTCTAACACTTTAAACTGACAGCTGTCCGGTATGGATGCCTGAGGGTCCTGGCAGCTGGTCAGGGGCCTCGCGTCCCCTTGTTGTATGGCATGCTCTGGTGAGGCAGTTTGCTCTGCTGATAGTGAAATTTGCGTGTTAACTTCTTTAGCTGCAAGCGACTGCAAATGAACTACTTCCTCATCATGAGACTTGCTAGACATTTCAGAGTCTTCGACAGATGAGGGCTCCGAGACTTTAAACGCCCGTGACTGGCTGGAGACAGGATGTTCCCCGATGCAGGGTTGAACATCTGCTTCTGCTCCAGCTCCGCACACTGACCCTGCCGCTCCAGTTGCTTGCAGCTGGCTGTTTTCTCTGTCGTGTTCGAGGTCCTCGGCATCAATGGAACATATGCTGTAGAAGGTCCGGCTCTTGGATTCCGTGACATGGCAAAGCTCTGCGGTGCTGATAGAGGCTTCCCCGCCATCCTCCTCCTGGCCTGCTGCTTCGGAGGGCTCCCCCTGCGTCTCCTGACGCACGCTGACCCCTCGAGGCTGGGCGTGTGGGCTCCCTCCCTCCTTGAGCCTGCCGGCAGTGGAGGTCAGGTTTGCAACGGCTGGCTGATAGCTTGCTGTCTGCTTCTCAGGGAGCTGACAGAACCATAAAGCTTTAAGTTTTGAATTGTCCAAAATCCTCTGTTTGGAGGGGCTCTCTGTGGGCACTTCCAAATAAGGAGCCGGTCCACTGCTGGGCCTGTCAATGCGCGTTACACTAGCAATTGTTTCCGTATTTGTCTTTGTGTTCGCGATAATAATAGCCTCCTTTTCCTCATGAGGGGTTGCCGGTTTAAGATCCTTCTCAGTCTGTGTGTCACAGTCCCTGCTGGACATAACAGCCTCAGTCCAACTTCCGCTGTTCAGTTCTGGATGACCTTCCTCATCTTCCAAAGCTTTCACATCCGTTTGTCCATCCCGCACACACTTTTCCTCTTCCTCTAAGCACACGTGTTGAGCTAGAGAGGCAGCATGTTGCCTGACCTGCTCCGTTGCCTCATTCAGTCCATTGTGGAGTGGAGACTGTATTAAACTGCTCCTTTCATTCTGTAGGCCGGGGTTGAGCTCTTTACTAAAGCAGCACCCCATCTTCTCCGGCCTAAAGTGGGAATAAAACAAAAAACTGCTATGGCCACACTCACCAAGAGCCTACACAACATGAGATAAAAATCACAAGCGGCTCCTCGCGACGGCTAAGCCACATGCGGAAAAGAGAAACGACCCCCTTCGCTCCCTGCCTTGTCCCAATCCTCCCATTCCCTCCCCCTGTTTCACCCCTCCCTGCCCAGAATAGCAAATGTTAAGGAGCTCACATGTCCCTGCCACTCAACACAAGCCCGAACACCACTTTTGTGCGGCTCTGTGTGTGTAGGCATGTGCAACAGTCCGGGTTAGGCTACAGTTTGAGAGGGGTCAGCACATGGCGCATGGTCCCGCAGCCACCAATCACAGAGCAGCGTCCCCTCCTTCCTCTCCTCTCACCATTCTCTTCTCTCTCTGTCCCACTGATATCTCTCACATTCAGTCACATCACAGCATATACTGATACATTGCAGGATAACTGAAGGAAACTAATCACAACATTTAAAAATACAGATACTGAGGTCATGTATTTAGTTCGTTCACACAAAAGATAATGGATCTTCAGATGAGGGATCCAGATGCCTTGTCACACGTTTCCCCTCATCTGAGCGAAAGGTGTTTGAACACTAAATTACTTTACAAGCTCAGTTCTGATTTGCTGATTGTCTCTTTGACAGGTATAAAATCATTTGGAAAGTACCTGTGTGGGGAAAACTAAGCGCTCAGTACCTGGTAAACGTAGTAGTAGCCAGGAACAAGCTCTCCGAGCGTTAACTGCACCTGTAGATCAGCTGGATACAGTGGATTCTGGTCTGACGTCATGTGACACGAGCTGGAGGGGAAGTGTACAGGACAAGTGCTGCTGCTGTTGATGGTCACCACGGAGACTGGCAGGACGAGCACAGCAGAGACGGAAGTGAGTCACAACACCAGCTGGCACAATGGAAACACTGCTGCAGCTAGATTACACAGCGTGGACTAAACTGAAAAATACTGCAGGTGGAGTTTTTTTTTTAAAGATCCTACACACAAGACTGTACAAACTGAAACAAAACACTAACGATGGCTCTGAAGCAGTTAAAAGCACTCTTTATGTTCACGTATCCAAAACTTTTCCAAAAGGAAATAGATCCCAGTTTTTTTCTTTTAATATCTTTTAATAATAGCAGGCTCCTTAAAAGTGTCTCTCAGACGATCTTAGGAATTAACTGAAACCACCTTGTGTCATTTTATTCCATTCTTATTGACAAAACAATTAAAATGACGCATGATTTCTTTCAACGCGTGTAAAGGTTCAGACAGCACCGGCCTCTTCGTCAGGGTCAGTGTTGTGGTGCCATGTGTGTGAGAAGCAGTGAGCATTTAGTATTTTAACATTTTTAGAATTAATATGAACATATCAGTTCACATAACACATATCAGAACACATATCAGTGCTGGCAAAACTTTATGGAATAAAAATTCTCTTTAGGTTCAGAAAGTGGATCCTAATTGGCAGACCCACACCTTTGACCAGACCTTTGCAAAAACATTAGTTCACTAATAGTCAGATTGTGTTTTCTTTTATGGAATGTACAAAAGATGAAGAATTCAGTCTAAAATGTGACACTTGTATTTGTGATTTTTTTTTTATCGTAAACCTGTAAAACAGAAATTTTCTTTATCTTCCTTCAAATATGAAGAATATCAAGTGGTTGGGATCACGTTTCAACAGAAACAAACATAAACATTAAATAAAATAGTGTCACAATGTTAGCCATAGCCACATGTTATCAGATGCTTTGTTTACATCGGTTCATCTACTTTTCCTCACACAGACTTAATGCAACTTGACAAAGTATACTTTAAACCCATTAAAAAGGGAAAGCTCTATCCTTAGGTCTCACTTTGAACCAAAAGACATGACGCAAACTGATATTTAACGGCTACAACTCCCCGTTAGCTTGTAGTTTGAGGAGCTAACTGTAAGATAAATAACGGCGACTTTTCTTGTCTTGATTTAAAGTCGTTATTAAAAGCCCCCTTTCGCATAAAACACAGCTCTAGAAAACACCAGTGTGGTTAGCGACACATATCTAACATCAAAACTTGTTTTAGTCGCGGTTTACCTGTCAGATTCTCCGGAGTTATTCACTGCCAAGTAATTCCTGTCTGCACTGACAACCTTGACAGGTGAAGTTAAACCAGACAAAACCTTTAAAAACACACTCTTGTGCAACTGCTGGTCAAATTACCCAGGGTGACACCTTTCATCTTCCGGTATATGAGAGGCATTTCAGCTGAAAAGCATCCCCCCGAATCGCTAGTTAAAGGTTAGTTCTCTAAGTTAACGTCCACAATTCGAACGATGCCAATAACGTTGCAGAAGCTAACGGTTGCTGCTGGCTAACGTCCTTGTTATTCTAAAAGGAGCTTTCCACGCGTGAAAGCGGGCTCCGTTTTTTTTCACGGGAACTCACCTGGAAACTTCTTCCTCTGTGGGCTGCGGTCACGTCTAATTGCTGGACGGCTTCCTGGCGGCGGGTTGGTGGGCGTGGGACGTTGTCCTTGTTCGCTTCCATGAGACAGCTAGTTAAGACTTTCCCGGCAGTACGTTAACTTCTGTTGCTATAGAGACAGAATTAAAAGAAAAAATCTAAAATCACGTTGGGCCTAATCCTTCAGGGACCCTAAACTCTACATTACTAATGTATCATATGTCAATATTAAGTTTAACAAAGCAAAAACAAAAATAGAGCTAAAATAACTGTATTACTCCTGCACACTCCTGGATATCTATTTATGCTGTATACCTACTTAATAGTACAACTTACTGAATAGAACATAATTTGTAAGGGTACAAAATTGATGTTTCCATCTATTTTAGTAATGTATTATGTGTCAATATCAAGTTTCTGACAAATTAAGATTGGAGGACATAAGTACTTTTCCTAAATCAGCACATTGTCCTGCAAATCTTAGGTTTTATGACCAATGAGGACATGATAATGTGCATCGTTGTATATATAAGTGTTTCTTTGATCCAAAAATCAAAGCAATTGATATTTCCACTCTCAAGCATTGTCAAATTAAGTCATGTAAATAGTCAAATGATGATTTTTATTTATGGAAAAATGATGGACACAATCTATAGACAACAATGTAAAGCACACAAATCCAGTTGAAAAATATCTCATATGTTTCATCGGTGACATCCGTATCATGAATGCAGACTCAGGATCTGGAATCAGTTGGTAGCTTTCTCCAATCTGATATATATTATTAAAGAACAGGTAAATTTTTCTAATAAAAATACCTGTTTAAACAGAATGTGCAACCGAGTGAAGTTCTTTCTTAGGGGGAAGGACATTTAGACATGAACGCTTTTCACATAAGAATACAACAAAGCACAAAAAGAACACATTGTATAATCTCAGGATAAAACACTCCCATGAGACGAATGGCCCAGTGAGGCCTTGCACCCACGGATTTAGTCTTTTTGTTTCAATCTCTCCAGCAAACAGAGCAAAGAACAGCGTAAAGGAGCTGGTTGTGTGAGTCCTGGTGTCCCCTGTGTGGATCCGGATCAGGAGTACAGGCTCCAGTAGATGGTGTTGAAGAGCAGGTAGGACAGAGGGAAGGCCAGGCGCGAGTAGGAGTCGATCATGTAGCTGTTGTTGACCAGCAGGTCCACGTTTTCGCGCACCGAGCGCTGCCGGCGAAGGCGGGTCCCCTCCCTGGGCCGGGTGCCGGGGTTTTCCGACGGGGTGCTCAGAGGGTCAGAGGTCAACGGGGGAGCCATCCGGGGAAACGTGGTCAGCTCAATGTCATTGTCGTGGAAACAGCCGTCGAAGGCCATTGCCTGGCTGGCGTTGAAGGTGGAGGGGATCTGAATAGTTGAAGAAGGAGAACGTGTTGGTTACACAGTTAGAATAGTGTAATATTTGTAGAAAATTGATTTCCCATGAAAATGTGTTCCCTTTGCTGCCTCCTACACCAAAAGCATTGGGGCTCAAAGGTAAAAATTCTAAAATAAATAAAATTGTTTCAATAATAAAATGACAATGATGAGTAAAAGAAAGACAATCATTAAAAAAATGGATCAGAATTGCAAACCTAAGAGATTTTCATGTTTATGGTTGTAGGCAGAAATAAGAAAATGTAGACATTTCTACTTTTAACAAAGACTCAATTCCTCATGTTTTGACGAAACGTTTATTGAAATAGCTACTTATAGAAAATGATTCTATAGGCAGTGATTCTTCTTTGAAATAATCTACACCTTGCTGGAGGATGACACAAACATGAACCTCTTATCTCATTGTAAATCTGTGTATCTATACAGGGGTGGACTTGGGAGAACAGATTGTCTGGGAGTTCCAAACAAACTGGTCCACCTAGTGCTAGACCTATAAATAAATATCTATCATATATTTTAGCGTGGAAAAGCTTCTTACACAAGCTACCTGTGTTACAGATTGGGTGAGAAGAAACTTGTATGGCAGCCCTATGATGCTGCATGCATTTGTAAGGAGGTTGCATCGCCCCACAACCAAAAGTTGCAAGATGGACAGTTGTTGCAAGTTTTTGAAAATGATCCCCACTTCATTTTTAGCCTTCTGTGTTCCTTCCTTCCTTTCTTTAACCTCTCCCACTCTCCTGCCAGACAGATTAGCTCACCCTGCACATTGGCAAATGTTGCATGGTCTTCAAATGGAAGCAGACACTTGCTCAGCTGTTGTGAATGTTTAGTTTTTAATGAGTTTTTATTTCTGATACTTTTCACACTCCTAACAGGAAACTTGCAGCTTCAGCCTGAGACGTTTTTGGTTTGTATTCAGTTGTAATGTTGAGGTTTGGCCACACGGGGGAGACATAGAGCGAAATATTTTTGGCGTTTTGCTGTTTGGACTGACCACCCCCTTTGTCCACTGGACCTACCTTCCCTCTCTTCATCTTCCTCATCTCTTCCAGAGTAGTGCAGTAGTTCACAGCTGCATATTCAATCACAGAGAGGAAAACAAACAGGAAACTGGTCCACATGTAGATGTCCACCGCTTTCACATATGACACCTGCACAGGACATTTAAAAAAAAAATATATTCTTTAACTCTAAAAACAAACAACCCATATTAACTAGTTATTAGTCTCCTACCTGAGGCATGGAGGACGATACTCCTGTGATGATGGTGGACATGGTGAGTACTGTTGTTATACCTGCCGAAAAACAAAACTGAGGTCAGGTTTTACCACTCCGAGCAGTTTGGTACGCATTTGTGGGCCTTTTCTCTCTGATAACTTCTGTGAATATTAATCATTATTTAGCTTTTTTTGTAATTCTTTTAATATTGTTTGTAAAACTCTGCTAACTAATTAGTTTAGCTATTGTATTGAACCCTTTTCTCATCCCATCATTAGTCCTTGACCCTCCTTCTCGGTAGATATTTAATTTGAAATTACTTGAGAGAATATTTAAGATGCTGGTTTTTGTGTTTCTGGTTTAGATTGGGCTCACGTAGTTGTTACCCAGAGACACTCGAGCGGGAACGGCTCTTCTGTCTATCCAGAAGGAGACCCAAGAGAGGACGACCATCAGCATGGTGGGGAAATAGGTCTGCAGCATGAAGAAGAAGATGTGCCTTCTCAGGATGAAGTTAATGAAGAGACGATTGTACCAACCTGACAAAGATACAGAGAGCAGCTGAATAATTCCCCTTGTTCTGGCTCAGTTTGTCCATCAACAGGACAGCTCCTGGTTCAAATCCCTGGGGGGGGATTTTTCATTTTAACATTAATTATAGTTTTGAGATTCAAACTATTAAAATGCCTGAGAACCAGAGGTCCAAAATCTTCTTGGCCAGATATCCTGACTGAATTTATGGTCTAGTAGAATTGATTCCGTCAACACAAAAATTTCTCTTCTTTCAATGTTTTTTAAACTTTGAATGTTAATGTAGGATTTTTAACAAGTGAAAACTGATCTTTGAAGCAGTTGATGACAAGCATGAACTCACAAAAAATATGTACGTTTTTGCTTACCTCAACCGGTTGAGTCTGATTCAAAGAAGTGATTGCGCAATTCAATATATGTTGAAAACCGTCTTTTCTGGTTTCATTAGGCTAAATGAAAATTACAATGATTTAAACAACAAATCTGTATTCCTTTTAATATGCCTTTGTCTAAACAAATAAATGGATTTAATCTTGTCTTTGTGTTATGTTTGTCTCCTGTAGACACACACAGACACACACCGGTGCTGCTGTAGAAAGCCAGGCCGTTGGAGGCGTGAAAATGCTCAATGAAGAACTGAGACAAGACGATCTCATCCGTCCTCAGAGAGTCATTCCCGTTCTTCCAGTAGAGCATCAGGTCGTTTTCATTGTAGGCGTCTGCAGATGGAGACAGAGACAGAGGGGAAGAACAAAGGACCAGGCTGTTTTTATTATCATCCCTTCTGCTGATCATTCCGGCCTTGTACCATCCTCTAAACGTATGGATGGAGGTACTGTGTGTGCTCTTTGTGCATCTTACAGCTCTCCAGCTCCAGCGAGCAGTTCTGAGTGTCCAGAGGAAAGCTGCTGAAGTCCATGGAACAGAGAGCGGTCACCGTGACCCTGGAACACACACATTTACACAGCTTTAACTACACTCACCATTCCATTAAATGTCTTCTCTCCCCAGGGGGAGTTTCTGTTGCCTGTGTGGGTCTGACATGTTAGGCTGTTTTCTGGAGGCAAAGCTCAACCGTAAAAAATTCAGTCTGACAAAGACTGAAGATGGCAGTCTATTGTCCATCATCAAAGGGACATCTCAAACATCTGTAAGACGTTTATTTGATATAAAAACAATCATTTTCATTTTCATTAATGTTAATCGAATATGGGAAGTTGTAGCACAAGTGTGATAAAAATGAGTGGGTTCAGATTCCCAAAGCCACAAAATATGAATTTCTCTGTAGTTTTGTTATAGTTCAATAAACATACTCAATTTAAAGCCAATCATCCAATAAAAAACGTTTATTGAATACATTATTATGAAAATCATGCATTGCTTTGGTTTTCTATCTCAATTTTCTTCATTTATTTAGTGTTTTTTATCATTTTAAGTTAAGTAACAGGGTTGCAAAGAAATTCACTGTATACATTTCTAAGAAATGACAAATCTAAGATTAATCTATCTATGTTTTTTGTGCAGTGGTCTGAAGCACTAACAGACAAGAAAACCTCCATATGAATCTCTGATTGGAAGTATACCATCATGCCCCATCTGTGGGCCTGAAATGGTGGTTGGGAAACAAAGTGAACATCTTTTCCATATGTCTTCAAACTCAAAGCTGCTGAAGTTTAAGGGAGCCATCGTGCTTTTGACCTCCACAGATCAACCTCCTCACACCTGGAACTACCTGACGCTGTAGAGGATGTTTCCATCCGGGTAGACCCGCAGCATGATGTTCTCCATGGTGGTGTCGTGGATGAAGGAGCGTTTGGAGTGGACGAAGAAGACGTCTGGGACCCAGATCTTCTTCACCAGGCGAGAATCAAAGGTCCGGCTCTGGTTGGTTTGAGAGGGAAAGGACAGGCGCTCGTCCTTCCAGTAGTGGCGCAGGTACAGAGTCATGGTGAAGTCCTGCAGAGAGAAGGCTTCTTGGCTCATTGTCAGCACTTTCTTTGTTTTCTCATAGACAGTTTGTCACCTACTGTATAAGAGATCAGATTTCTGAATAGTACATAAAAGACGTTAGGCTGACATTTATTTAAACAACGTCAGTGAGTCATTGTAGGAGATGTGATGGTCTGAAAGAATCCCATCGTTCCAGCGCAGACTCCCATAACAGCACCTTCCTTTATTCTATTCATCTCCACAACTTGGAAGTCACGGACGAGTTCAGTTCAAAGCTGGCTGCTTGAAAGGTCACAGACCAGACAAAATAAGGGGACAGGAAATGACATCAGCACCGTCTTCACTTTTGTAATTGCTCTTTGAACAGAGGACAATGTTACTGTTACATGCTTACATGACAAAAATGTGTCACAGGAGAGCAGCTTCTCCTCTAATAAATCAAACTAATGATGTTAAGCAACTTGTTCAACATTAAAACAAATTTAGATAAATGCTTACATACATTTTTATTTTGCCAGTGTTTTTATCTTATCTGTTTGTGTATCCATCACAGCTGGATTGATGCAGGGGCCTTTCACTTTACAGCTCTTTTAAACTTGAATCTTGCTTGTGCAACAGTCAGAAATAGCTGAGAAGTCACAGAGTAACTGTATTTTTCAGGGGGTCATTGAGTCATGGGCCACTGAGCATACCTGAATAATTCGAGTTTGAAGATCTAAACAAAATGTCTGACTGAACTCACCATGTTGACCTCTGAGATGCTGTCGATGCTCTCCACCTGCACGTCGATGCCCACGGGGATGGCTGCACCTGGAACAGCGGCGTGCTCAGCGTTAACTCCAGCTCTGAATGCATACATCAATGGCAGTAAAGCGTCCAAATATCCATAAAGAATCATCAAAAGAAAGCCCTTTGTCAACTGTGTGAGTTCTCAGACACAAACTGATCAGAGGGTGGACAGAAGGGCATCAGACATGCATCGTATGGTCAGATGAGTCCACGATTCAGCACCTTTTGGGAAAAACTACTTTTCTTTTATAGAAAGAGATAAGGTCTGTGATGGTTTGGGGACTGGCCTGTCTGTTTTCCCCTTCTGTCTCCTACTCAAATGGATGGAGCATCATGAAACAAGAAGTGGACATCATGCTTTAGATGTGTTCATACATTCTAAATGCAATGAAGTTTGTCACAGAAATTCATTTCTTTTTACATGAAGGTTTGAAAATATCTGAACAGATAACTCATGGATCGTGTCATTTCAATTAGGGATGCCCAAACTTTTGCATGTCACTCCACAGTAATTAAACTGAAATCCAGGCACTATTTGTTAATCCTGGCCTGCAGATCTCATTTTGGTTCATGACATCTGCCCTTTGTCCTCCTCTGTCCGAATCATTAGCAGATTAATCATGTTTAACCTAAATTGTGCATACAAACAGAGCAGAAATAGCTAAACGGCACCAATTGCCATCCAAGAAAAAGAAGGCATCAATCATGGTTACTCTCCCGGCTGCTCTGCCCCCACAAAGCAATCAGGACCTGACAATGTTTGGTTTTTTAAGGATGTTTGTCTGTCCCACATCCAACTTTAATGTTCTTTAGTGGTCTTGTTCTTGTCTGTAAATTTGCACAGCTAATTTTAGGATTTATTCCTCGCTGTGGCCTGGAGACGTAAACAGATGATCATTCCTGCTCCCAAATGCAAGCACCAACAATGAGCTTCCTACTGTCCTAAACTCATCCAGTAAAAACACTTTCAGCTTTCCCAAAGCCCGTTTTTAACATCTGGTTAGCATTTAAAGTCATGCTGATTTAAGATTTAGTTAGTTGTGGAAAAATATCTATGGAGGTTACGCTCAAGCCTTCCTGTATTAGTTTGTTAGCCAAGTCCATAACACTTGAGGTTTTAACATGCAGTTTTGGTAATGCTATTCAGATTTATTAGTCATGTATTTTGGAAATTGGTTTTGATTGGTTGATAATGTTGACAACACACTGTTTGTATGAGAAGCAAAAGTTGAAAGAAATGTGAATAATGTAGAAAAAAATAATATTTTTCACACAATCACTTAAGTCCCAAAAGTCTCAAGGCAAAGTACTTGTGAGTCTTTAGAGGTGAGCCGTAATGTTGACGTTTTTTCTGGTGTCTGCGTTTCCTTCACTTTCAATTCACTTTCAACCAAATCACGAGAAGAGAAGAGTTATGATGGACTGACTTCAAATTTGTTTGTTTGTTTTATGTTTGGTTTTCTTATTTCATAATTAAAGACTAGGGGATTAAAAGGGAGCAAACGCCTTTTTCCATTCGAGTTGGCAATCAGCGTTTCTGCTGGTTCATCGTGCATAAACACCGCCTCTGTCTCATGCATGCTGGTCTTCTCTGACCTCTGTCTGGACGTGGTTTACCGGCTTACATTCCTGCTTCCACCATCAGTCAAACAAAGTCTGTGTGCACTTTCTGTGTGTGCCTGGCAGAGTGTGAATGTTAGTAGGCCAGCAGCTCAATAAACACTTCATTTAATGAAGTCGGTCTGACAGCCAGGCCCATAAAGCTGCAGCCAGAGTCCAGCTTTGTCGCCCCAACCACCAGCAGAGCGGCAACAGCTCACAGCGTCGTCCTAACAACGGCTGCTGTTGGTGGGAAAAACGTGACGAGCGGGTTACTCACTTTCCCTCTTTTCAGTTTACTGTTTTCAGTCTTCCATGAAACACCCAGTTAAGACTGTGTTTTAACTGGGGCACTCATTTTAAAAATAGAGATACCTCCACTATGAGATATTTGTAACTGAATTTTTTTTTCTTTGCGTTTAGACCTGCAAAAGCATAGCTTTTTAAGTTTTACACACTTGGATAAGGGCATTAAATGCTAAACAGGGAACCTAGATAGGGTCCTTATATGGTTAACATTTTTTTGTTCCATTCCAAATGTACTATTTCTACTTAGATTTGAACTCACATATTATAGTTATATACTTATACTTATAATTATACTTATACTTGAGAGTTGCCAGGGTCTGGAGCCAAGGTAAACTGCTGAGTTTAATGACATTTGAAACTTCTTAACATCAAAACTGATACCTGCGGCACAAAAAAGAGATTTGGTCTTTCAGGACATCTTGTATTTTTCCTTCTTGTCAGATGACTGTAATATGATAAATAAACTAGTGATATATACCGTTGGCATGTTGACCCAATGGAGTTAGTTCATAGCTGTTCCAGATTGTTAATTTCTGGATTTACATCCACTGATTTATCATCATGAGGTGCCAGAATCTCCCTGTAGGATTAAATGTCTTTAGGATTAAATAGCTGCTGGTTATTCTAATCTCTCTGAATACTGAATCAGTTCCAATAATTCTTTGCCCATAATACTACCTAAATGGACGAGAGCAGATAAATTTACAGTTAAAAAGGGCTTGTGAAAGCCATGGCTGCTTGAACGTCCACTTTCACAAGATAAAGGAGTAACAGGTAAAAGGCAGAAAGGGATTAAAAGATAGATCTCAGCACAGTTTGTGGACAGAGGTTGTTTTTTTGTGTAGCAAAACACACATAAAGCTTTTCATATGTTCTGTGCATCACAATTAACATTTCTGGAAGCCCAGCACTGCAGTTTGGATGTATTTTGAATCCCTGCCCACGTCTCAAATACATTTGGTTACCATTGTGCTGTTTTTGTGGTGGGACCAATGAATAAGCAAACCAGAGCTTCATTGGGGAGGATTAAGAAAGAATATCATCTCTTTTTTTTTTAAAAAGGACAAGAAGTTTTACCCTTCTTCTTGTGTTAGGGCTGGCACCAACCCATATTTTTAGATTGACCACCAGAGGAACACAAAGGGTTAACACTAGAGAAAGGCCTCAGTGAGTGATCCCTAATGCTGCTCTGCAGGGTCTCTGCACGCAGTATCTACTAAATGGCTCCTAAAAAGAATTGCTCAATAACAGCTTAATTAAACTGAATTATGACTTCAAATTCACATCCTATATTGTCAGAGATTCGTCAAAGAGGCAGAATTGCACTGGGAAGCACATAGCACCTTTAACCTTTGACCTCCAGATCAGACCAACTACTGAAAATTAGTTTATAGAGTTTTGTGGGATTTAAGTTTTTATTTTGCGAAAATGTTTTTACATTCAAGGGCAAAAAAATGCAGCTAAAATCACATTTAGTAATGTCATGCTTTTCTGACTCTTATGCTGACTTTGAATACAAAAACTAATCTGTCAATAAGGTTTGCTATGCGATACCTAAAACTGGGGACATCACGGTGGGGTGCTGCAGCCAAAATATATCAGCATTTGGCAGGATACCAGAAGAATGCAGGGCCTGCCTTTCACCCAACATTTGGCTTTGCAAAGAGTAATACTAGAGTAGAGAGACTGAGGTGGCCGAAGTGATGTTTAAATCAATTCTCATAGGAGTTCATTTAAGTTTATAGACACGTGCAGGACATGAAATGTCACGTAGTATTTATGGACCGTGGGCTGACCCATAAGGCATCTGAGAACGGGATGGTTTGGATTATTCTGTTCCCCGGGTCCCAGCACCAACACAGAGGCTATAGGCTTATCTGAGATGGACAAATGCTAAGATTCGCCTCAAAGTGAAATTATAGTGAAAGGAAATGCCACAATGCCTTCAGGCAGACAGTGTTGCTTGTGTTGTCCCCACCCTGAATGACGGGCAGGACCACAGAGACGCAAAGCGACCGTATAGGACATGGAGGGGGCAGCAAAGCTGGGCGGAGTGGGATCAAAGGACAGAATAGGTTAAATGTAAGACAAGTCAGACCTGGGATTCAAAAGGCCTTAAGATGAATTCGAATGAACTTACAAACAGAAACATATCATCAAATCTATTGTCTGAAACTAAGATTTCATTGAAAAAAACAACAAAACAGAATATTATGTCACAAGGTCAGCGTTTCAAAAAGTGAATAATCACAGAGAGATGAGATCAGCTCGTTTGGAAAGTGAAAGGAAGAAACTGTCAAGAAAGTGTTGGAAAAATGACAGCATTGTCTTAAGTTCAAAGACTTAAGTTTACATTTTCATGCGAGTGGTGTCTTCACAATGTAGGAAAAATGACATAAAAACCTCTTGAAAATCTAAAGAGCTAGGTGGATCCCACCATCTGGATCCTGGTTCCAAACAACAATCAAAAGTATTTCCTTCTAATTCTTCTTTGACTTGAAAGTGCTTTTAGAAAGTGAAAGATGCCCCTTCTTTAGTTGAACCCAGCACAGACTTTGCCCCATTTAGATTTTCGACTTTCACTCAGCTGTGTCTACGTTATCTTGCTGTGTCAAATGATTTCACAACTCTGGTCCACTGTCCAGCAGCAAACAGCTGGACATCCATGGGGAAAGCCTGCTGAACAGATTGGCTTGTCCTGTCTTTTTTTGTGTTGTAATGTTGCGTTTTATTTGAAGAAAATATCAACTAAAAGCCCTGAGGTTATAAATTCCGAGTGGCTCACTTTCCCAGACCTGACTTCCAAATCCAATTTGGCTGCTCCACATGTCAGAATTAGCGACAGCTGTTTGTTGCAACTTGTCTTTTAAGTCCAGGACAGTACGTCAGGATTTCTCACAGCCCATAAACTGCTGAACTGTTTGAATGCACAAAATACAGCACAATATAAAGTCATCGCTTTGTTGGTTTGGAAGAAAGATTGTTCTGGGAGTTGAAATGATGCAGAAAATATTGATGCCAAAGACTGTCGACCTCTGTATGCAAAGCATTTCTAAGCCATGTCATCTTTCAGCAATCGTGTCAACAAATGCACAAACCGCTAAAATTAAACACCTCTACCTCACTTCGCGCCCCAGCCCAAGAAGCTTTCAAAAAGCTCCCCTAAACCAAAGTATTTCAGCAAACCCAGGAAGTAGGATGTAAACGTCAGCCTACACTGCTATTGGTCTGTCGCCTGAAGGCTCAGCATCCACCCCAACAGCAATTATCCTTCACCTAACACAGATCAGGCCAGAACAACCAAAAATAAGCAATCGGTTAGATGATGTGCTGTTTGAGAAAGGACAAAAGAGCTCCCATGTGGAGGGAATCGACTGAATTGCAAATGTCATGTGAAACGGTGAATTAGAATATGGAATAAAAATCAAAATTATACTGTTCTCATCCTGGTCCGTTTATGTTCTGATTAGTTTTTATTCCATGTTTTCACCAGTAGTTGTCCTCTGTCCTTTTTCTTTCTCTCTCCATACTCACCTCTGCTCACTGGGTCACAGCTGCAATTGTTCAGCTTCCCCATAGTATTTAGGCTCTCTGGTTTTCAGTCTCAGTCTGATGCCTGCCATTACTCACCCATGGTTTGAACCACAAGCTTTTGTTCCCTTGTCATAGTTCAGGTTTTACTTGACAGTTGACTTAATGTAATTTCTGTTTCGGCCACATTTGGTGCTTCTGTTGAGATTAAATCTAGTCTGTGTTCTTTTTTAATATCCTGTTTGCATGATGGTTTGCGTTTGGAGCCTCACCTCGCCACTCACCTTATCAGATGCTAGATCCAAACATTTATAGCTCTGCACGAGAGTGGGTTGGACGAGCTTTGGTGAAAACCCCCTGATATATAGTCAGTTTAACATCATCTAAATTTCTTAAAGACAACAGATACACAGGTGAGGAACGCTCGGTTTGTCTTTGATCCAAACTTTGGCTGGTGGAGAGTATTTTGGGGAGCGCGCGTCAGTATGATTCTGTTCTGTGTTGGACGTTGGTGACCACTGCAGACATCCGCTTGTTTCCCACCCCTCCATCTGCCTCAGGCCTGGGACATAATCCAGATTAATGCACACGAATCCCCCCGACTCACACAATACTCACACACTCAAACTGACACTGCGCGCTCATTATTTCGCACAGTTCACAATCACATTTGAGAGAGTCTCACTATAACGGCAGGATGCGCACAGTGGTGGAATCTGGGTCAGTGTAGGTGATTTTGGATTGACACATCCTTGATGCAGTGGTCAGCGTCAAACCTTGGCTTTGGCACTATGAGTATGGGGCTGATTTCCTCTGGCAGACGACGTGTGAGTGAGTGGATTAAATCATCAAACATAAGAGGCAGGAAGTTGGTGTTTTTTAAACTACGGCTGCCTGTATGTGTTCAGATTTTTCTCGTGTGTTGCTGACCTCCGAAACCTGGTCTCATGGCGAAGTCGTGCTCCTCGATCCTCAGCAGCTGTTCACTCTTTATCAGGAGGGTTTTGGTGCTGTCCTGCTTCTTCAACTTGTAGTCTATGCGTCTGCGGAAAAAACAAGCACCCACACACACACACACACACACACACACACACACACACATACACACGTCTGATTAGTTCTATTAAGGTTGCAATTGCAGGCTGTGATTAAAGACTACGCAGACTGTGGTTTTCTTCCCCCTTTCTTATTCCAACTCGCTGTCATTCCACCAAAACCCAAGCATTTATCAAAGACGGGAAACAAGACGATGACCAAACACTACCAGTGCATGCAAATACAACCAGCAGGGAGGCGGTCACTTCCACCTCAGCATTACTTTTAGCGAAATCATATATTTAGGGAATAATCATATATGAGCTACTCTCCTTATATTTACCTTTAACTCTTGTTATTATCTAGATAGAAAAGGTCTCACACTTTGACATTTATTCGATCAATATCAGTGCGTCTGCGTTTTCTTTTTTGTGGATGGCTAAGACTTCATCTGCTGAGATATTTTGGTTACAAATAGTGTCTTGTTAATTGTTCCTTAAAACTAATTAAATCTTCCATCTGAAGCGAGCGTGTAAACTTATTTTCTGCATTAGAGAAAGTTTATTCAAATCGGATCTTTTCCATTTTGTTTTTCTCATTCAATCAGTCGAAGTTGGTTTGAGAATCTAATTAGGATGTCTCCAGCTTGTCTCCCTGTGGAGGTTAACTGGGCATGTCCAGCTGGGAGGACGCCCTGGAGAAAACCCAGAACTCGCTGGAGGGATTATTTATCTCTGGCCTGGGAACAGCTTGAGTTCCCAAGGGAAGAACTGAAGAGTGTCGCCAGGGAGAGGTGTTTGCATGTCTCTCCTGTTGGCTTCTTAACACCACCTCACATAAATGGAAGGATGGATGCTTTAAATGCTTATATTGAAGAAGAAAATAGCTCAGACTCTGATGTGATAATGGAAATTTCACATCGAGATGTGTTCAAAAGCTCACCATCAGTCTGGCTGTGGAGCTCGAGTCTTGGATGCCACTCAGTTTGGTCTTAGAGATTCACCACAAAGGTACAATTTCTGAGCTCAGAAATTCCAGAGTTTCTGGAGATTTCCAAATGACCGCTGGCTGACTCACACATGCATGTGGAGGCACAGCGTTAGAAAGGAGCTTCCTCTGGAGAAATCTCACCCAGTTACGAAGCATTTATCTCCTTTTAGTCATAGACATTATTTGCTATACATTCAAAACTGTCTTAAAGGGCGACACCTTTCGAACACAGTTCTCTCACACCAACTTTAAACACTAATCCTGATAAAACATCACGAAGAACACATTTTTTCTAGCTAATCCGCAGAAATTTCATTCCACATTAACTAAACAGAGGTTTTCTCAGGTTACTAAATTGAGATATATACATGTTGGACATGTTTACAGAGTCTGTTTAACGTGTATATCTAATTAAACCCAGAAAGGTTTTTACAGTCCTCATAAACCGGTAAGGAGAGAAAAAAATGTGGTCTGTTTACACAAATGTGTTGCTCTGGAAGAGCTTTAAGTGAACAAAAATTCCAAATTGAATTTCACAACGGGAAAATGGCTGTGAGCTAAATTCCATTTAGGAAGCCCATGCAACACCTTTTCAGCGGAGCACGTGTAAGACTGCCAAGCATTTCCACACTGGTATTTATTTTCAACTGAGACATTTCTGTGTTGCCAAAGGGAAAACGTTGTCCCTGCCTCATAGACCACGTATTTACCTGTCATTTCAACAGTGAAACCTGCGCTTCAGCTCTGTCAAGCTCATATTGGCATGACATCGCAGCTGAAGCATCAGCTGAGCAGTACATCACTTTAACCCCTGTTTTTCTATTGGATCGACGCCACAAACGTTGTGGACGAGCGTTAAATGAAGACCTTTAGATGAGAGAGAGACCGTTTTGTGTGTTCAGGTGTGTGTGTGTGGTTCCCTGATACACTGACTGATTAGTATGTAGCCAAATATAGAGCCATTAGTGTTATTACATCCCAATCAAATGCTCCATCACCCACACAAGTGTGCCATGTTTGGTAACTGATTTACACAGGTGTCAGCAAATGAAAACCTAGGTTGTTGGTTGTTTTATGAGTATGTTTTAATTGATTGGGACATCATTCAGACCAACTTTTTCAAATGCGCAGTTAAAGTGAAAGAACGAACGCTCAGAGAGGCAGAAAAAAAACAGGAACCATCGCGTCACCTTTAAACACATACTCATTCATTTAAAAGAAAATTAGTAATACATTTGATTTGGCCATGTGATTTCCTTAAAGCAGGAAAGGGAAGTTCAAATGGTTAAAATGTTTCAGAGTCGCTGAACCAAGAGGAACAACAACCAATGCCACAGCTCTGCAGTCCGGACATCATTATTAGCCCAAAAAGGGGAACACAGACAGCAAAAATCCACCACTGAATGGGAAAAGACTTTTCAAAGAAGCACGAAAATGAAAGAACCAACGCTTTGAGAGCAACGCTTTGTCCAGAGGACAAACGCTTTGTCCAGAAGTAATATCTGACATCTGCTGGTGGTTGAAAAACTGGTTATCTCGTGTGAAGTGCCTCTAAAGTACACAGGATTAAAACCATCTTGGGCTTAATACCATCTTGTCCCTTACTTTAAGATGAGTGTTTAGTGAAGGGGACTAAACAGCAGCTGGTAATGCTGGAAAAAGATTTCCATTTTACATTTTAGAACCTGTCACATGTTCAGGGTGTACCCTGCCTTCCATCCAGTGTCAGCTGAAATAGCCCCCCCCCCCCTTCCCCTCCTCCTGACCCTAGTGGGAATAAGTGGTATAGAACATGAATGGATGGATTGGTGGATGATAACACAAAAAAAAACTAGTGCTCACCTTGTGTTTTTAGTTCATTCACAGCTCTAAACAGGAATTTCTCTCTCAAGTAACTCATCGGTCCTGTTTCAAACTGTTGTGATTTCTGCAGTTTACTCTGTATCTTTTGTAGATTTCTTCCCATGACAGCAAACTATTCACTTTAGGTCAGTAGGCAGCACAAGAATGCAGTCACAGCAACATAAAAATGTACTAGCAGAGTTAAATATGAACTATATAGTTTGAAAACTTTATTTGTGATGTGTTGATGCTTAGAATGAAAAAAAAAATCTTGAATGATGATTTGCACAAAAACAAAAACAAAAAAAAAACTCTGGCTCTCACCCTCCAAACTTGAACTTGCTGTTCTCGCCGATGAAAACCTCTTTGTTTTTCCTACGGCTGGAGCTGCGGCCGCCGGTCACCACGGCAGCAAAGCTGGCCGCAGCCAGAGCCAGGCAAGTCAGCACGTCCACCTTCATCCTTCACAGGTTTCCCTGCCAAAAGCCATGCAGCTCCAGCATCCCGACCACAGCCAGCCCTCCCTCCGCTCCACCTCCACCGGCTCAGGGCGAAGCCTCCACACTAAAGTCCCGGGTTTTGGTCACACATCCCCACATCAGCTGGACGCTGCTCCACCACAGAGATCCAGGACTTCAGAGCAGGACGGAGACATGTGGGAGATCTGGACGAGTCCCCCCCCCCACCTCACACAGCATACGTTAAAACAGCGTTTCAGTTTCCAGCTGTAAAGGCCTCCAGGATCTTCTTCTGTCCCTCCACTTGGTCCATTCGCTTCTCTTTTCTACCGCCCTGAATCTGTCTGCTTTGTCTCTGGTTTGTGGTTCTATCTCTGATTAAAATCTATATGAATCTGTTCCTCGTGGCGATAGAGGAATGACACTAATTCCAGCCTAATCCTCTTATCTATAGCCACAGCAATCTTTCACTAACCTACAAACAGTCACACACACATTCCCATCAGTAATCAGGATTTTCTCAGGGGACGATGAAAAATCAGGCACCTGCTCACAATATTCCAGGTTTGAGCGCACCTCTTCCGTTTGTGTGCATGTGTGAAGAGGATGTTTGTAACACAACAATCCACAGATTTGGATTCCATTCAAACAGCAAAAGGTCGTCAAGATGAGCCCACATTTAATCCAAGCTGGAATGGAGTGAAATGAGTCTAATCCAGCCGGAGCCAGCACCTTCCTCAGTTTACACCTCAGCGGGACACAAGGCGCCACTCACACACACTAACAGGCAACACACAAATGTGCATAAGCATTTTTTGTTTTTTGGGCGGATGACGTCTGCGGATTTCCTCCTTTACCTTAAAGGTGCAAAGAACATGTGATTTCCTAGTTGCACACTTCCCTGAAGTCTACACAATCTTGTTTGTTGTGCACCCACAAAAGACTATAGAGAAATAATGAGAAAATAACCCGTGCTGCTGAACATAGTGGATGTTTTGTGTTTTTTGTATTTTTAATTTAAGTTCATTGACAACAGATTGAAAGCAAAGGTTTAATATTGCTTCGTGGTTGAACATGTTTGGGTTCTTTTTCAGCTGCTTCACAATAAAAGCATGGCCCACGATACATGGAACGCTGGAGTTGTGCGCGGGCAACTCAGAGTCATACGCCCAGAGCACAGAGCCGGATCCCACGCGCCCATTATGTCCTCATGCCATCGGTATGACTATCCTACACACTTGGAGAAGATTATCGCTGGAACATTAAAACATGCATTTGGATAAAGAGCCTGTTTGGATGTTTTTCTGTATATCCTAATGAGCCCCGTCCTAATGAGACGTTAAAAAGTTTACAGCCTGTATGACCAGTACTAATCATAGGATTAAGCCTCTATTCTCTGCACACAGCAGGCACAAAAACATACTTGTGCGGTATTTCAGGTTATTTCAGCCAATAGCCAAATTACTGCCTGACTGCACTTGTTAAGATGTTGTGTTTTTTTTTCATTAAAAGGTACAGAATACAAGTCCTGGTTACTTCATAGTTTCATTCTTATCAAAGATTGTAAATCATGTCGATAAAAAGGTTGATGTAAATCAGTCCCTCCCCGTTTCCATCTCCTATCTGGGTTTATTGTAACATGATGTAACCCTTTCACCGCTGAGGGGGGGGGGGCAGCTCGGCTGCCGGCTGGGCAGGTGGCCAGCTTCCAGGTGTGGCTGAGAGTGACTGTGGGGGGACTTTTTGGGTCATCCAAAGGTTACTCACCTTTTTTTGTGACAGTTTTACATGTTGTTTCTGCTTCTTCTTTCGGTCCTTCCACCCACTGAAAGGATGGCATTGCTGTTGTTCAGGCGTGTTTTAACATTGATGGAGTTTTTTGTTATCTATATGCTCCGTGGGACTTGAACCGTATGGAACAGACGAGAATAAAACAGGCCGAACCTTTAGCGCAGCTTATGTTTCTGTGTTTGACCCAGCAGGTGTTTAACAGCTTCTCTGCTGCCCGTCAGACATGCAGCACATAGCAGAAGACACACGATGCTCGACACAGCTCAACACTTCAGGGCCGACTCCTCTTACATTTGACAGGACAGCAAAGGAAACACCGACTCTCACCGAGGGTCTGACATGTCTGTGTGTGTCTTTGTGAGTTTGCCAATCACAATTAAACTCCACCCATTCGGAGGAGGTGTGTGTGTGTGTGTGTGTGTGTGTGTGCAGCCTATTCTCTAAATAACCTGTTGATCCAGTCATGCTGATACTCGGTCTCGGGAGGCAGCAGGCTGGGCTCTTCCCCAGCTCTTCACTCCTTCCTCTTTCTCCAGGATTTCATCTGAACTGCAACTGAGTCACGGCAAGTTTCTTTTTTTGTGGTCTCTTTGCTTTCACACACACTTCCCAACTCTTTACTGGCAGAAATAAGTGACTCAACTATTCACTGGCTCTACTGGCCAGTGACACTGAAAGATTTTGTTTAGAAAGTGTAAAGAAAATGTAAGTAAAAACTTTATATTTAAAATGCTTCTAAATAATTGACATACTGTAAAATGCATTGTATAAACATTACAAAGTAAATCCAAATTCTAGTCTTATGCACCCTTTCCCTAACTTTAATGATTTTTTTATTATAATTTACAAACATAGGCATAACATTGTCTGTTAACAAGTAAATGTGAAGTTCTGAAGTAATAAGACTTCAGAGCGTGTAACATTAATTTCTTAAGCTGGATATTTTCGTTGTCATAGAAAAAAATGCTTGTAAAAATATCCTTTTGTCTTTTGTTTTTTACTGATACAGCTAAACACGATTGAAATATTTTCTAATAAACTTTTTTGCCCGAAAAAGTCTCTATGATGGCAAAAATGGCAACCCTCGTTAAAAGCATCATAAACTAAGACCAAATAATCACTCAATAAAATTTAGTTTATTTGAAATGCTAAAAGAATAGAAGGCTAACACACCAAAATAAAGGTCTCTGGTGTCAGGTTTGAAATTGGGATCAAAATCAGATAGCCTTATGGCCCTAATGTCTGGCACAAAGCACTGATCTCTATCTAATCAGACAAAACTGTTTATGTATTGCATACATATATACAATAAACAGAATGAAGTGATGAAAGTTTTTATTTACTTAAATATGCATTCAGACTCAATCAAGGTCTGTTTCTTTTATTTAATTAACTGAGCTCCAGCCTGGATGTCATGCCCTCCTCCAGCCTCCCAACTGTGAGGCCAACATGAACCTAAATTAGAGAGTAAACAAGAGTCTTATGATAGTGATTAAGCAGCTTTGATGTCATTCAAGCAGTTTCAAGACTTTTCAGGTGCTATGCGGTACGGTTAAAAAATCATTTTTGGTTTAAAAAGGTTCCTTAGTTCTTATAGATCTTCTGTGATTTATCAGAACTGCTAAAGTGGGGATTGTATCCAGCTGTAATGCGGGAAGGATCCAGCCTGAACTCATACAGACTTGTGACACAGACACATGCTTGGCACCAGTTCCCTCCCACTCATAAAAACGTCACAACGCATCATCGCATATTCATCACTCTGTTTTCCCTTTGTCTATTTCAAAAGAGTTCTTGCAAAAATTCCTGCACTTGTAAGAGTGATTGACAGCAGTGGTATTCTCACAGCCTTTGAAGCACGCCAACAAGTTCAGGTTGTTCTGGAGAGCTAAGATAGTATCAAGATAGCATGAGAGGGGTTTTATCATGCGTAACCAACCGATGCGTCCTCTTCCTTACAATTTACCAAACCATTTTGGAAAGAAAAGAAGAATTTGATACGAGGGATAAGACCTGAGAGAGGCCTGAGAAGAAAGGAGACTGCTTTATTGGTGGATTAGCGATAAAATGGGTTAACTTTGATAATAAAACAGTTAAAGATGACTTAGGATTCTCTTTAGAAAGCTGCAGACTATCGGTTTTACTTGTAACTATACCTACATCAGGAAGAATGTCTCTAATTACCCGTATTTCCCTTCCTTGTTCCTTGTATTTTTCTGTCTGCGATGCTGAACCACCCATAGAGATCCAAGGACAAACCTGCCACAAGGGGAAAAAACCAAGAGTGGAAACACACGCCTGAAGTCACCACAGTGCAGGCAGCATGGACTGAGGGCCGGCCTGCACATCTCTGTGTCATCGAAGCATAAGTTTCTGCATCTTAAATGCTCGTAGCTGTAAAGAAATCATGTCTGCGACGTACACCTGGGCTTGTTTCTTTCTCTGGATCAGCTTTGCCACACAGGACAAAACTCCAGGTAAGACACAATTGCCTCTTTGTCCAGGAGCTTCAACTGGGGTGTATTAGGGATTTAAAGACTGAGGGTTTTTCTTCCCGAAACCTGATACATACACACAAAAAAACAGGAATTTGTCAGTTTAAAAGCTGTGAGTTGCAAGATTGGGAAACTTTTGAATAGTCAGATGGCACATTCATTATATTTCCTCTGAATGTTGGAGGAGAGCTCAGACTGGAAAAAATTCCCTGGCCACAGCGTTTCAAAGGGAAGCTTCTTTTTTCATATTCATATAAATAAAAAAATATATATAAAGAAATGAAAACCAGGTGTGTGTTACGGGCAACAGAAGACAAAAGAGCACCAAAGTGGGACGTGCAGCTCAGCACATCAAACGAGGCCCTGTAGTCTGATGGGATGAATCAGATGTCAGTGGTAGCCTAGATCTAGTAGAGGCTGTGCTGTTAAAAAAGCCACATAAGTACTAAAGTATTCTTTCATGTTGCATTCGGTTGAGCTTAAAAAAAAATCAGTAGCTTTAAGACACTTCAATCTGTGCGAGTGGAAACAGGGAAATATATAAAGTGTGACCAGCTGTCCAATAGGAAAAGTCCTGGGGGTATTTGGACTGCTTTCAACTTAGCTAAGCTTGTTCCAAGATCCTGTTTAAACCTGGAAACTTTAGACTGAGTCATTGCTGCTTGGATTTAATCCAACAAGTCCCGGAGTCGATAAAACCTTAAAGGTCATTTGTGTACACACATTAGAACCTGTCAGGTAATTGATTATGCCCTAAATATGACGCATAAGATAATATCCAGAATGGAGCAAATGCACTTTATGTTTCCTTAAATCAGCCTCAAAGTCTTTTTAAGGAGCAATATCTGGAGGGAAATGTCACCATTCAATGCAGCACAGTAAGCTAGCATGTTCAACAACAGTTTCTTCATCTCTGGGTCACATTTAGGCAGTAAAACAATGCCAGATTCCTAAAACATTTATCAAAGTTCACATTAGGCCTTATTAACCATAACATGAACAACGTGTTAGTCCAAGATTCCAATATAGCTTTTCAATTAAAAGAAAATGAGCTGCAAACAAGGTGTTTCCTAAACCTGAGATAAGTTTTAATTTGATATCTATATCTATCTATCTATCGATAGATAGACAGATGTCAGACATTCTGTGGATTTCTGTGCTTGCTCAGTGCTTCGCTCCCCTGATGAAGCTGCGTTTGCTTCCCTGCTAGAAATGTAGCACGGCTGTGAGACAGGAGCGGGCTGTAATGAAGGCGTGTTGCTGGGCTGTCAGTGCAGGGCTGCACGGTTACGTCACACAGGTGTGAGTCAGAGGCATGAGTCAGCGTTCGCCTCAGTGTTTTGATTAGCAAAATAAGGTAGAAGGAGGGCAAAGAGCGGCATGCATGAGCTGACAAAGTCCGTCAAAACACTGTCAGCATGAGCGGAAATAAGAGTTTAGCTGTCGATAAACCAATTGTTAAAAGCTGAATACAAGAACTTTGTTGGACTCTGTTGGCTGCTGGACATTGTTAAATGAGTAAAAAACAACAAGCAGGGAGGATATCACGTTTTTTAACTGTCATTTTTCTGGAGGAGTTCTTGTGTGTGTGTATAAAAGCTATCAGGAGCAAAATTGACTTTTTCTATTGAAAAAAGTTCTGGACAAATACAACCCCCACTAAAAACAAGACCAAATCGCTGAGAGCCTTTAAGTCTTCGGGGTTAAGCGCCGGGGCATTTATGTTTCAGATTGTGTTTGTTATGTAGATGTTGATCCTGACTTTGCTTCTGAAGATTACAAATAAATGTCTGAAGCCCAAGTCACGACCCTGAGCTTTGCGCTGCCGCACATTTTTGTAGTATTTCTCACAGCACTCTCCTGTCAGAGTTTCAGCAGGTGGAGAATGTGAAACCCCACGTGCCTGCAGCAGTAAAAAATGCTGCAGTGTGCGTTCATAAATCTTTCTGAGATGATTTTAGTGCAGATACTGCGGGGTAAGCAGCATCTCCTCACATGACTGAGTGAGCTCCGGGTCCTGGGGGCTACTTTTAGTACATTTGAACTACTGTGGCCCTTTGACCCAAACGTGTAGTTGTCGTCATTTGACCTACAAATATCATTAAACTGTCAAATTATCCTGCTTCAAACACATTAACCTTAACACCTCATTTATTTTCTGCTAGGATTCTGTTGACCAGTGCGTTATTTCTGCCTTGAAAAAGCTCAAAAATGCTAAAAACCTGCTGGAGTCATCTCTTCTCAGCTCAGACCTGCGCAGGCTTCAGTTTCTCTTTTAACCGGCTAAACACAATTTACTGTTCGAGCATGGTTACTGTTTGTCTTCAAACTTATGTCCCTTAGATTTCACAACTTTCCATTTTACCTTTAGCTGCATGTCGGAAACAGAGACACGAGTTTATTGTCCCAGCTGACATGTTCAGGAGGGCTGTTTCAGGTTTGTTCTTTTGTGCATATCATGTGGTGATAAAACCAAATATTCCTGTTCAGATGAGAATTCTTCCTTCTTGCATGTGAGACTTCTCAACAATGTTTAGAAGGACATTTTCCCCTTAAGAATTATTTTTACCCGTGGGGAAATACTCACTTTGAAGTCAAGTGCAAGTGCCGAAAGAGTAAAGCTCCTGTCAGTGGAGTTTAAGTTGAAGTTTAGTCACTGAGAGTTTTTTATCTTTAGTTTGGTAGTTGAGATGAAAAGTTATTTTTAACACAGATCATTTGCCTAAAGATTATCTTAAAACATAATTTCAACAGAGATATATACAATATAACTCTGTTGACAATATGACAAAAAGCTGAAATTAGGCCTCTAACAACTTAATGAAAAAACTGACTCGTCCCACCGTGTTTCAGATGTGATCGTGACCTGCTCTGTTTCTGAGGAATGCATGCTCCCCTGCAACTTCCAGCCTGGCAGTAAGGTGACCGTCGAATGGTTCCGGCAGGACATAGTGGTGTACAAATTTGAGCGAACGGATGACAACAGCAGCAGCAAGGAGCATTTCAGGCACGAACGCCTCACCGGACGCGCCTCCATTTCGCCGACTCAAGTATCCAATGGTAACGCCACCATGGTCCTGAGGATGAGCGGGCTCAAAGACAGAGGCACGTACCGCTGTCATGTGCACACCTCAGAGGGAGAACACGATGCCACAGTCATTTTGAAGGTGGAAGGTGAGTTTAGAAGTCAGCTTTAGCTGACACACTGACAAAAGTAGTTGTGTGCACAAATGAATGAAAACTTGTACACTGGAGCTTTAAAGGGAAAAATAATAACAAGGACATCATTGCAAAAGGATAGAGGGAAGATATTTAAAGTGTTTAGTTTGATATCAACATTACCAATGAACCATTTTCTTAATAGATTATTCTTAACGTTTTTGATTGCAGGTCAAAAGATAATACAAGTCATCCAAATTACACCTTAATTATTGATGCAAAAGAAATAAACATTAGATTAAAGACATATGAAAATGTAATCACAGAAAAATAATAAATGCATAATAAAGTAATACATTAAAACCTATTTACTCCCAAGTAAGGTAATATCGAACAACTCCTGGAATAATAACAAAATAAAACAATTGTCTGTTCACACCATTTGATATAACTCTGAAACTACCAGTCATCTAGAACGGGAAGAAGTCTTTCCTGTAAATACGCCACAAAGTCCTCTCAAGAAAAAAGTAGACAACAATGAGATGTTACAATATTTCTTTTTGTTTCATTTCTGGTATTATGTTCAGAAAAAGATTTTTGTCACAGCCTGATTGGTTTTTAGTCACAACATTCCTTTGTAATGCGATTAAAATGGCTGTTTGTGGGTTTGAAATACATTCTTACTGCAATGTCGCATTAATGCTTTGCGGGTAGAATTAGCAACAGGAATCATACCCAAAAAACGTTGCTACTCCCTTGTTAAGTTTAGTCAATAAGCATTTAAGGAAAGCGGTACTTCTATCAAATAAACAGAAAGGTATGATTCTGTCAATTTGAATTGATTCATAGATCTCACTCCTCAACAGAGGGAAATTGAAAGACGGGACAAAGGTTTTCTCAGAAGGGACAAAAGGCAAAAAATGCTGGAGAACCAACCATTGAGCAAAAAAAAAAAAGAATAGGAGAAGGAACAAGGAAAGGAAAACAAAAGGAAATTGTAATTTGGAAAGTGATATGATAAAAAAGAAAAATCTATAAATGGAATCTTTCCTCATGGTTTAAAGAAGAAACAGCTCTTAGGCTTTTCTTAGGATTTTCTACAGTTTAGCTAAACCACCCAAAAAAAATGTATGCTGATTTTGTGCAGATTATTCCTGAGAGACGTGACTTGACTGAGTAATTCGACATTTAGCAGAGAAAGTGAGGTTTGGTAAGATCTGTGTTTACTTTATGGTGGCATTAAAGTATAACTTTTTAACAGAGGTCCAATGTTATCTGGGGACAAATGATATCACCCAGTGCCAGGCTATATTAGGCCCTGACATTTAGTCTATCATCGCAGGCTTCTGGAAACATTTAGCATGCTGTGAGTGTCTTTTTTTGTGTGTGTTTGTGTGAGCAGCCCCCATCCGGGGCCTGTTCCTGGAGCAGTTCAGACTGAGTGGCTACGAGGAGATGAAATGCACGATCCGTGATGTCTTCCCCGCTCCTCGGGTAACCTGGGCGACGGAGCCCCCCACATTTGAAAACCTGCGGCCGGTCACGCGTAAGCTGGCCAACAAGAAGGGACTCTACACGGTGGACAGCCGGCTGAAGCTACTGAAGGGACAGCCTGACCTCATATACATCTGTAAAGTGACCACTTTGTATGGTGGTCCGACCTGGACCGCCTCCCTCAGGCAGAGAGGTACCAGATGATTACAGCTCTGATCAGGGCCTTTTGGATGTTAGAGACTGAATTACTCATGTGCACATTTTTTATTTTATTTACATTTAGTCATCAGCTATTACAAAAAGACTTGTCACATCAGTAGTCAAGTTTATTACAAATACAACACAAAAACATGAATATCATTCAGTTTCAAACTTTTGAATCATGGTTTTAATGTTAGTTGAGAAGACTGCAAACACTTTTCTAAAATAGAAGGAAGCAGTCTTTCATTTCCTTTAACTTTTAACGGGAAAGGAAAAATTCTTCCTTGTTTGGTTTCATTTCAACCAAACAATGAAGGTTTCATTTAAGGGCAATCTTCAAGCTTAGGCTGTCTTTAAGTCCTCATTTCATCCTGACCAAACAAACTTTAAAGGAAAACATTTTAAACTCTAAAGTTTTTTCCAGCCTCTGAGTTATGAGTGGTCAAGAAGTTTTCGGATGTTTCTTTCTTGTTTTTATTCTAAGGTACACGTGTTTCTGTTTCTATTCACTTACCATGGACAGATACTTCCTACCACAGAGTGTTTTTAACTTAGCTAGATGGCGTGAAGGCGCTTTCTTTAAATGTACCAGGCTGTGGATGTGTCCTAGATAGATAGATCTGTGTAACTAACTGTGGGACCCAACCTTTGCTTACTGGCAGAAATAAGAGGAACTCAAGGGAAAGATGTGACCATCCCTTGCAGCGCCCCTACTTACCTGATCAACCCTTCCCTCCTATGGACCTTCTCCAACGGGGAGGAGTTTTCCCGCATCGTCTCGTATGACAGCCGGTCAGGGCGCAGCATCTCCACGCCGCCCTGGGACCACCACATGGAGCTGGACAACTTCCGGGTCGTGTTTGGAGACGGCTCCCTGCGGCTGATGGACCCCAGACACTCGGAGCACACGGGCAGCTTCACCTGCGAGTTCTCGGCGCCGTACAGCTCACACACAGAACGCAACGTGGTGACCATCGGGGACCCTGATGGTGAGAAGAAGATCAACTCAAACGTGTTTAAAGATGAGCTCCAGTTTCTGTCATCCAAAAAAGGGGGAGCTTCACTTTCAAAGTATATGACTGCCCAGTTATTTTCTGGAGCCAGGCAAGGTTTAACAGAGGGTGGGGGAGGTAAACACTTCAAATGAGACCTGTGCCACTCACAGGACACTCATTCAGACTGGACTGTTTACTTTAATCACAAATTTAGGAATGTTTATTTTAGAAAATATGCAGAGAATACAAAAACAATGCTGAGGTTCTGCTCTTTATGAAGAATTCTTGAAGTTTGGTGGGTTTCGGGATGTTTTCGTCCCATAAAAACATGACAAAAATGTGTTTTTCCAAACATAAGAGGAATGCTTTATCCGTTGTTTTGACATGAAACCTTTTGGATGCCGTTTCTCTGTGCAGGTCAGCAAAGAGCAACGGAGGCTCCATCGTATTGGTGGGTCTTGGGCGTGGTGGCTGGATTAATTGTTCTGGTTCTGGTCAGCGTGCTAGCCTACCTCAAGCTGAAAGGTAAAAGATGATGTGGACCAAAAGTATTCGAAAAATAAAAACTTCTTAAGCGCATTTCAGATACCAGAAATACATTTAAACTATCACTTCTGTATGTTTAGAAAATATTGACAGTTAGATTTTAACTGTAATTTTACAGGTCTAGTAACAATATGTAAATTATAGGAGACACTCCACTAGCAGTTGTTTTCTGTCTACTAAAAGCCGACATTTTAAAATGGAAATTACATGTTTACGTGTGTTTTCTTGCAATTTACATTTTAAATCACAACATGACTCTTGTGCAGGAAGAAAATCAAAGCACACAAACGACCCTGAGGAGGAGACGGAGCTGAACCTGGCCAAAGGTTTGTCCTCAAACTGTAAAAACAGACACTAGATGGAGACAGAGAATAACTTCTGACAAGTCCGTGTTTCCTGCTCAGAACTGATAAGAAGCTGGATGTTTACTCTCCTCTTTAGTCTGGAGTATGCAGAGCAGTGGGTTCCAAACTTAAGTTCTGGTTCTGATTCAAGTACTCGCTTTCTCTCAGTCTATTTTAAACGAGCTTTACTCCAGAGGCGACGACACAAGCCCCTGATCATATTAAGATTGAACCTGCTTTTCCCCCTGAGGGCCTAAAGGTCACAGAGATGTTTACATATCAAGGTCTGGAGATCACTGACAATTCCCCATTTGAGGACCATTTTTGTAAACACTTTTTTAAAATGCTAAAACTCTCTTTAGCTCTGAGTAACTCTTACTCTCTGGGCTGCTGCAGTCATTATCCCAACTTGTTGTTTTTTATCCTAAGTAGTCATCAAATTCAGAACAAGCCAATATTTTTCATAAACAGTAAAATGTCTCACTTTCAACATTTAACATGTTTTCTGTGTTAGAATTTTGGTTTCTTCTTTTAGATTCACAGTAATCCAGGTCCTGTAAAACACTAGAGCGTTCAAAGTTAAAAAACAACTTGAATAAAAGAAACATTTTTTAGAATGCATGGCTGATTTACATTTTTTTTTAAAACAGACATTTTTTTACAGAAATCTGAGAAAAACAGTTACTCTTCTATTTGAATTACATAATGCCTTTCATTGTGTAATTCTAAACATGTTTGTGTCATTTCAGTTGCTGCAGAGAGAAGTTAACCTGCGTGGAGCCCCGCATTTGGCACTTGATCACTCTGAGCACTATCAGGAAGAACAACCTGAATCCCCTTAACTACCAACGCACATAGAGCACAAAGATGAGGAACTGCAAGTTTCTGACAAACAGAAAAGTCTCATTAAGATTGAATTTTAGTAAAAGGATCACAGCGTCCGTTTGAAATGGTCAATTTCAGTTTGGGCATTCCTAGGTTTCAGACTGTTCACAAGAGGGATTCACACACCCTGACAGCACAACTTAAAGTCTGAAAGTATTTCAGAAACTCTGTTGAGACCGTTTTCTTGTCAGTATCCCAGCGGGATAAATCTACATTTCAACGAGATGATTCAGGGCTGGAACAATGTGACGGTAACCTGAAAAGGTCGCGGCACATAGAAACGGATCATTAGCCTGAAATAAACCAAGTTCCTGCCAAAAAATGCTAAATGGTTGGTAATGTTCCAGCAAAAATCCTTGAAAGTATTCACATCTATTTTTAATGCTGTACATTTGGTTCAACAGACAGTAGAAAGCCAACGCTCGTCTGGGAGTTTCATTCCTATTTTGTGGATTTTCCCCTTTTAAATTGATCCAATCATGAATCATTTTAGCACATAAATCCCATTAAAAACCCATTAGGCTTCTTCTCAAAACTGACTGTACACCATGCTATTTGAGCAAAAATAAAACAAAAGGAGAAAATAAACATGACAACATCCATTTTTGGATACAAAATATGGTCACTCTGCTCCATCAGAGTGTGACAAACATGTCGAATGTAATTCAGCCAATTGCTGAAGTGAGCACGGCCTCATGCTGCCAGGAGACAAAAATACTGGATGCCACAGGGAGGAAGTCATATCTATTTAGTAACATGAGTCAATGTTGAAAGGATTCTGCCATATATTGCCACAGTTCTTCAGATACAGATAATCTGGGGCATTTTAAAATATTTCAGGTTCCTAGTTTAGTTATCCGAACAATTTAAGAAAACATAAAGTTTTTTTCTAAGGGGACTGGAGTTGAAGAGTTTCACCAAAAGGCCTCTGAAGTGTCTTTTTGTTGGATTGTTCTTCCTAATGCTTGAAAACTAATGAAGAGGCTTTTTATTATTTAATTCTCTCAATGATAAGAAGTTTTGTATAGACAACATATCTACTGTTTGGCCTTGAATACAACAGCAAGGATGGCTTTGTACTTTCTGCACTGTCTTCCTTTAACACATATTAACTTAAAGGATGAGCTGGCCAGTAAATCACTGTTTCTTTGATATTGTTTTATACGACAAAAATATATTTTCTTCTTACTTGGGCAGTGCTTTTCTCGAAGCTGTCACAGAAGTGTCATAATAAACTTAATGATGTCAAAAATGATAACAATCCAGTGTATTGAGTCTTTTTGTGTACACCGACAGATTGCAGGCAACAGAAAACATTTCCAAAATCTCTTTGGCTGCAGTTTCTTTTGCTGGTGTTGAAACATCATAATTTGAGATGGTCTGGAGCTGCTTAAATGTACTAATATTGGATTAAAAACTGTCCAGTAATTATCCAGCTTTAAACCATAGCACAGTGATGATCATATATGAGTAAACGATCAGAGGAAAAATTCTAGAGACTGATCGGAGATCCCTTTATAACATTTAGTTGAATCACATTGGAACTCACAGATAAGCAGAGTCCTCAGGTAATGTGGATTGTATAGTACTGACCATGGTCTATATTGTTCAATAAACAGTGGGTCTAATGAGGGGAAAATATCTCATCTGGTACGATGACTGCTGCCCAATAAATTAATGAATTCAAACAAATCTAGCAGGGGCAGGCAAAAGGGAAGGTCCAAAGTCCAAAAAGACAGGTCAGTACACAAACAAGCAGAGGCAGGATCAGGATCAGAATGACTGGATGCTGTATTTTGGATGCTGGTTATTTAGGAAAACGCACTACAACATGACATTTCATTTGACATACATTTTTATAAATGAGGCATCAAAGTAGTTTTGTCTTTCAAAACAATGAGGCAGATTTTTAAAAAATACGTTGTGTTTGCTCTGTATGAGTAGTCAGCAAATACTAATAAGTTGTTGACAACTTTAAAGTTTATTAATGCTTTTACAGCTGCACTTAATGAAGAATGGCGACGTCGCGTCTACGTGCTACGTCACTGACGTGCGCCGGTGTAAATTGTAAACACTCCACCAACAGCTGCTGCAGGCTCAGTTAGCCAACATGATCCACCGACTGCTTTCCCTCGTTTCATTTGATTAACCGCAGTAGCTATCAGATGAGGTTTTGAATCTTTTTTTGCGTTTTACAAGGCTGCGTCAAATTGCTGTCGTAAAGCTAATCTTAGCGTCGCTGCGGCTTTAGCTGAGCTAGCTCATCCCTCAGATGCGTTAAAGCTGCTTCGGGAACTCTGGATTTTCAGAGCTCGCCCAGCTCTGACCTGAAATGGTGCTGTCTTTGGTGAACCTCTGTGCCAGGGAGGTGGTGAGTGACCACAGCTCGTCTCCTAACTGGCTAAAGTGGGTGCCCCGGGAGCTGTACCGGGCTCTGCTGGAGGCCGCCTTCGCCAGCTGCAGACCGCTGGCCGTGGGCGAGCTGGTCCAGCGGTGGCCTGAACGCTCCCTGCGGGTTGGAGGACGCAGGAAACCGCGGCAAGCTGTGCCAAATCGACTCTGCATCCAGGCTCTGTTACTTGCAGTGGTCAGAGGACTGACAGACCAAAGGTATGGAAAAGGTGAACATCTGAGACAATGTAAAGATCCGCTTAAACCTTTTGGCTAAATAGTCAGTAGGGAAATCCCTATCTTTACGTGAAACTGAAGTTGTCTTACACCCTGATTTAATAGCGATATTGTGCCGTGCTTTTCTTCTTGTGCAGGTGTGCCCTACAAGTGCTGGACCTCTGTGGGCTGCAGGGAGATGAGGGAGGAATGGGGGACTCGATGGGAGGCTGGTCCCTCACCGTTGCCCTCTGCACCATGGTTGTTCAGGCCAGAACCGGTGCCCAGAGGGCACAGAGGAAAGAAGGAGACCACGAGAGGAAACGGTTCTCGGCTCTTGAAAGAGCAAGGGATTTAAAAAGAGAGAAGGGGCAGAGAAAGGGGCCAAAGAACCTCGATGACACGTGCAGCAACGGAGAAAGAACTGGAACCTCGGGTCCTGTGAGTGAGGAGGAGACGATTAAAGGAGTCAGGAGAAGGATGGAGGTGGAGAGAAAAAAAACGATAGCAGCTTCAGGTTTAGGAGACAGTAAAGTGGACGTAGAGGAGAAATCGGTAGACATTGACGTGCTGGTGCATGTAAGAGCGGATCTTTTTGTCAATTCTCGATCCTGGGAGCGTGTTCGTTTGGCCCTGAGCTCACCGGGACCGCTCAAGCTTCAGTGCAGGTACCTCCGTGTGGAGGAGATTTCGGTGTCGAGCATCAGGACCCTGCTGGCCCTGCTGCCGTGCCAGGGGCTCCTGGGCGTGGACATTCGCTACAGCAGCCTCGGGGTGGCCGGCTTGGCGGAGCTGCTGCCGCTGCTTTCCACCTTCCCGTCGCTGAACTCCCTCCGCCTGCATTACTGCAACCTGGACTTCCGCAGAGACATCTTTGGACAGGAAGACACATTGAGGGACCTGTCGCAGGGGCTGGCACATCTCCAAGAGCTGCGGCGGCTCAGCCTCACCGCTCTGCGGCTGCCTGGACAACTGCGCGTGTTGCTCAGGTTTGGCATACGATATTCAAAGTTGTATTTTCTCAATCATCTTAAATTGTATTATCCCCCCAAAGTTCTTTTTTTTAGGTTTGTTGGCACAAATATAACCTTGAAACAAGATGCTAGTTGTTATCTGAGCCTTAAGGGTTTAATAAAGTTGTTATTACTTGACCAATGTTGGGGAACTGCCAAGGAAAGCAATTTATTTATATACAGTACTTAGGTTTTTCATTTGGGTAAAGCTGCTTTACCATAAAATATTTTTTTATTTTGGTATTGTTTGAAATGTGTGTACTTCATGTTCAAAATAAGATGAGCTGGTTGCACTGTGCTGCATAGCCACTAGATGGCTGTAGTTCTTTTCCCTTAAGAAAAAAAAAATCCCATATTGAAGTTTTGATAAAATGGTGGCCATATTCAATCGTTACAATAAAGCAAAGCTATCTGGTTTGATAGTATTGGTATGATGTTAAAGAAAGAGTGTCAATTTTGAGTTTCGTTCTAACGAATGCTGCTTTTGTTCCAGCTCGCTGCCTCAGCCTCTGGAGATCCTAGAGCTGCCCTATTTGAGCCTGAGTCCAGCTGACCTCGCCTACCTGTCCTGCAGCCATCATGCCTCCACGCTGCAGCAGCTGGACTTGAGTGAGAACCGTCTGGACACCAACACCCTATCCTCCATCCGCCGCCTCCTCTCCCAGGCCTCCAGCAGCCTGCAGCACCTCTCTTTAAGTGGCTGTGGTCTGACTGATGGTCTGCTGGGGCTCTTGTTGCCCTCACTGGGCAGCTGCTGGGCTCTAAAGAGCCTGGCTTTGGCTTTGAACCCGCTTTCCATGGCGGGCCTCCTGGATCTGGTGCGAATGGCAGCTAGAATGCCCTCCTTACGACAGTTACTCTACCCTAACCCCCTTGAAGACTACCAGCCGGGTCTTCCGGACCTGCCCTCTAGTGCCCAGTTACTGGACTGGCCTCTGGATGAAGCACCAGACTTCAACATGACCAGCAGCCAGCTCAACCGGGTGCTGACAGACAGCGGACGCCACGACCTCTTTCTCACTTGTGACCTGCTCAATTACGATAAAGACTTGGTGGAGTAGAGCCGGGGCCAGAGGTGCTTTTCAGATCACGCGTTAACGCTCTTATAACCTGACAATCGCACTGCGTCGTGAGAAAGGCAGAATGATTTTTGGCCTTATGATCACCACGATCGCGTCTTTTTTAAAAATTATTTTTCGTCTTTTTTGACATGAAAACAAACCAGTGCAACTTAAACCTCAATCAGTTTCCAAAACATGTCTGAACTGTGTTAAACAGGGTAAAATAAGCCACCAGATGAAGACCCGTTTTAGTGTTGCCAACATGAAATCAGTGTATTGAACAGTGACATGGGAGCAGGTCGGTCTGGGAACGAGGTGCCATTTGTTATCAGTTGCTGCACTACTTAATTAACTTAACTTTGTGACTATGGCAGTGAAATTTTAGCAGATAAGTCATTGCTGCTTTTCAGAGTTTAAGAACCAGGCTGGCAGGCTGGTTTGGACACAAACAACCAAAAGGCTCAGCTGTCTCTGAATACCCCAACAGAAAAACGACACTTCTCTTTTAACATGGATGCTTCAGAATATTTAGTTTTAATATAGTTTTATATGAACTGCTTTATGTGTTTTACTCATGTCTCTGCTGTATTTCTTGAATGTTTGTTACGAAAATCAAAAGCAGGCTTCCTGCATTAATTCACCAGCATCACTGGCCTTTACGTGTACCACAGAAATGTTTTTACACACCAGAAATCCCAGAATAAATCAGTCTT